CTCAATAATAAATTTGTTTTTGGGACCTCTATTGTGAAAAGTTTTTTCCACTGGAAAAAATGCACATGGAATCTTCCTTTACTTAGGAAGCCATGGAAGCTGAGGAAGCTGAAAGCTTGGGTCTTCTCTTGAGCTGAAGATCTGAGGCTGCAAAGCAAAAGGATTGCTGAGAACAATTACAAAGAACCTGAGAAAGGAAGCTGAATACAATCTATGAAAGGAAAATGAATACTACAATCAAGTACAAAAGATCCCTCACCAGGAATCCAGATTTGTTTTGGTGATAGTTTATTATGGAGGACCTCCTGTTTGTTTGAGGGGAGGGGGGGGGGTGGCTGGGAATATTGCGCCCTATGAGTCGATGAGCGCTTTTTCACAAGTTGCGTACCGGATCACGATCCAAGTGCCCTGTGAAGCCGCGGTCGTGTAGTGACCTGATGTCAAACGTTTATTTGGCCAGTGACCTGGAGTCGCACGCAGCATGGATAAGTAATATAATGGATGGGGGTTAAATATTGATAGCGGTGTGTATGGTTACTTGCACCCCAGCTTGCCAACGATGACTTGCTTTGGCTGAGCTTTCGAGATGCCGCTTGCGACTCCGCTATAATGACCACATAAGCCATCTTCACCTGACCTGTGTAGTAGGGTGTTTGACTTCTGAAACCATTTACATGTAGGTAGAAGTATAGAAGGATGTGGAAATTCTGAAATCAGCAGCTGAACGCAGCACCGATACTGGGTGTTAAGTTTTAACATTGTCGTGTATGGCTACTTGCACTATCTATCTTCAAAGGAAAGGAAGGCAGCTCCTTGTTACAAGTTAGAAGACCAAAAAAACTTTGAGATGCTGCTTGCGACTCCGCAAGGATGCGCTCCAGTATGGAGTCTTATAGGAGAATCCGCAAAAAGTCCGACGCAATGGAGAATTGCGGCGCAGCCTTGCCTATACAAATTTGGCCCAATCGGCCCACTCCCGGCAGCATTCGGCAGCCGCTCGGGAGCAAACAAACTTCAGCCGCGCGCATTCATTATAGTGATCGACGTGGATATGCTGTAGTGTTCCTGCAGACAACGGTCCATCACAAGGACACTTACGCAGCAGAGAGATATGCACAGAACCTAGCGCTAGGCTTAATTCTCTTTTCTGGACACCTCCAATGAGATCATCAATAATCAAAACAAAGCCTCTAGCATCCTGGTACACTCCAAACCGAGCTTCCAAATCTCTGCTCGATCTGCGATTGCATTTGCCACTTTGAAGACCAAGTCCAAGCCGAAGTCCACCGCAAAAGCACCATGCGCTTGCCGTGGTCCTCGCAAAGCAAGGCTAAGATTGCATGGGAGTTGGGGCCTCCAGTGACATCAGGAATATAGTGAACAATTCCCACGTCATGTCAAAAACGTGTTGGGACATAGTTAACAAAAGCGATAGGACGTGCGACACCTTTCAAAGAGCAACCTTGTACTAGGGCGTGGGGAATCTGGCCATGCTTCGCATCAATTTCATTGCCTGATGACATGGGAGTTTTACACTCCGCATACAGAAAGGCAATTGAGCAAATAACTTGGGAATGTGTGAGTTCCCAATTTTCTTTAGATCCCATCCACCGAACGTAGTATAGTTGCACGGTAGACCCTATAGGTCGAAACAACAGGACCGGTTGGCGAGCCCATTCCGCCGAACCCGCCTGGCTTGGAGGCGAGCGGGATCGAACGTCCTGCGGCCATTTAGAAACAGTTACTGTCGCAAACCACAGGTAAGTTGTTTCAAGCCGAAAATCTATGTCTATTCTACGCTTGCTTCCAACACAGACGCCTCGGCGTCAAAGACATTGGACTGCCGGGTCTGAGTGGATCCAACGACCGCGCACATCGTCGGACAGAACCTTTGCTGGAACACAAGAAATCAAGGTGCAGCCACCCGCTTTGCAAAATGAAAAGGGCCAAGAATAGCGGTTTTTAGAACACCATGTCACTTCCATACTAAGCTTTGTCGCCTACCAGATGCTTAGTCAAGGAGCTGAAAAATTGGTGGGCGAGATGAACGCCAGCTCTTGCTTCCATTCTGCAAAGCCTGTGTGACAAGCATGCGTCGTTCATCGGAGACCACCAGAATATAAAAAAACAACGAGGCCATCACTCTTAGGTTGGAGGCCATCGCACTTAGGGTGGAGGCCACTACCATTGCTATCAGGTTGGAGGCCAGCGCTGTTAGGTTGGTAACTTAGTTCATGCTTTCTGAAAGGCCCACATTCTAATTCTATGCGCGAGGGTCATCCCTAGGGTCATCGATTTTGGAAGGTTTGGCGCGTTAATTTAAAACTAACTCTAGACATTCATATTCTAACTGGTCGTCCAGTAGTCCTCTACTGTAATCGTTTCTTCTTGGGAGGAAAAAGCTTGACTTGTTGAACCGAGAAACATGTGGCCAACTGACAATGCTTATCGAAGCGCTCTGTACAAACCACCTGGACCATTTCGTGTCCAGTCGAGCTCCGGTACAGCGCCCGCTTACCCACCATTGCCATGGCTTCCGACGGCTCAGTGTTTCCTAGATGCACACTTGCCTATAAGCTTTGCAAGTTAAGTATCCAACGTGTGAGACAAGTCCTCATTGTCCGATTGAAGATATGAGCTCTTTTTGCATCAGCGAGCATCCGTAGCAAGACATAATCCAAACAAGTGCCGGACCCTTGAACATGGCAGCCAAAACCTTCCGGTTCAGCAACAATCGTTCATGGTCACGATCCAAACAAAAGAAAAATAGAACAGCGCCGGCGCAAGGGTTTGAATGTTCGTATCTCGACATCTGCGCGACAGCCACTGCCGCACGCCGGGCTTCCATTTTATATGTGAGGCAAGCGCAACAATGTTTGCAAGCGGCCCGATGCTTTTGCGATCACATCCAACAAAATGCAATCCCTGTGTAAATATTTAGACCTACGAATGCTAGCTAACGTAACGAAACCACAATCACCCTCATCGCCCTTATCATTATTCACTGTTGTGGTGATGCACGGGACACACTTCCCAGAGGCAATCGCTCCACCATGCTGAAAGGAATGGCCAATATATTAACTACTGTCCTTTTGCTGAGTTAATATAACCAAAAGAATTGACAATTTTCGCCAATAAAAGGCAATAATTGTATTTTTTGTAGAATATTTGCATTTGCGGTATTTCCGGAGCAAATAATTAGTAACTTTATTAATGTTTGAATTAGTCGAATTATTGTCCTTTCGCAGAATTAATGGAACCAATAGAAATAAAAAATGCTTGATTTGTATTTTTTTGGATTTCCGGGAATTCCGGATCAATTAATTGTTAATTTTATCAGGTTCATTGATTTTTTAAATATATTAATTGTTTTTTTTGCCGAATTTAATACAACTAAAAGGCAAAAGTATTTAATCTAATTTTTTTGATTTCCAGGATTTCCGGAGCAAATAATTAATAATTCTATTAATATTAATCTTTTTAACAATATTAAATTGTTTTCCTTTTGCCGAATTGTTTTCTTTTTGCCGAATTAATACAACTAATAGAAATAAGAAAGATGCATTAATTGTATTTTTTTGATTTCCGGGATTTCCGGAGCAATTAACTATTAATTCTATTAATTTTATTAGTTTTCTTAATTATTTTAATTGTTTTCTTTTTGCCGAATTAATACAACTAATGGAAATAATAAAGATGCATTAATTGTATTTTTTGATTTCCGGGATTTCCGGAGCAATTAATTATTAATTCTATGAAATTTTATTAATTTTTTCCTGACGCACCTTGTTCTAGATCAACCAAAGGAATCCAAGGGAAACCAACCCTCCAAGGCAAATTTTAGGTCAAGCACCAACAACTTGCCCTCCCCCTGAAACAATTGATCGTCAACTTCTCCCAAGTCAAACTGGAACGGAACACGTGGCCACATCTACTGAACCACCACAAGAACATGCTGTCCTTCGATGTCACTCTGTTTGGGACCCTGGGCGCACCAAACGCCCCAGGTCACTGCACCGAAGACGGCTCCCACCGCGTTGCCATTAATACAACTAATAGAAATAATAAAGATGCTTTGAGTCGGCAAAAGGGAAACAATTAATATAATCAAAAAAAATAAAATTAATAGAATTAATAATTAATTGCTCCGGAAATCCCGGAAATCAACAAAAATACAATTAAAGCATTTTCCTTATTTCTATTCGTTGTATTATTTCGGCAACAAGAAAACAATTAAAATAATCAATAAAATTAAAAAAATTAAAAGAATTAAAAATTAATTGCTCCGGAAATTCCGGGAAATCAAAAAATATACAACTAAATATTTTCTATTAGTTGTATTAATTCGGCAAAAGGAAAACAATTAATATAATTAATAAAAGTAATAGAATTAAAAGTAATTGCTCCGTAAATCCAGGAAATGCAAACAATATAAAGCATCTGTATTATTTCTTTTAGTTGTATTAATTTGGCAACAGGAAAATATTTAATATATTTAAAGGAATTAATAGAATTACTATAGTTAACAATTAATTGCTTCGGAAATCCCGAAAATGCGAATAATTAATAAAATTAATCGAATTATATCAAAAATAATATAAGCCAGAACTATATTAATACGCCCGCTCAGGGGGAAAACGCCCGCTCTGGCATGGGGGAAAACACCCGCTCAGGGGGAAGACGCCCGCTCTGGGGGAAAACACCCGCTCAGGGGGAAGACGCCCGCTCTGGGGGAAAACACCCGCTCAGGGGGAAGACGCCCGCTCTGGGGGAAGCTGCCTGCTCCAGAGAATTAGTAAGTTATAATAATTATATAATTCATATTTATGCAACATGTCAACATCAAATGCTGCTCGCCAACTTGCACGTCGAACACGACGGATTCGACACATAGGACATACTATTCCCTCATACGGGGGGGGGGCCGTTTACTAATCAGGCGCCAACATTAATATCTCAAGAAACCAATTTTTCAGCTTTGTAACTTTGAGTTGGAATGAGTTGGCATCCAGGAATTAAATCTTTCAGGATCTTTCAGGGGGGGCCACAAAACAAGACGAACACAAAGAACAGTCATTCGAGTTGAGCTTCCACTACCCGAACAGAATGAAGGATAAAAAAACGTTGTTGAACCGGCCCTGCCCATGAAAACGCCACGTTCTTCCGTTGTTCAGAAAAGTTTCAATGTCCAGAAAGTAAGGCATGCATCCAGCCAGCAAAATCTCGTAATGCCGAAGGCAATCCTGGACACAGTTGAGCACTGTGCGACATAAAATTAATATACCCTAAGAATCCGGGCCCTCAAACAGATAGGGTTTTGAGGCCCCGGACCCCTGCCATGGAGGGTCCGACCCCTGCCATTCACAGCCCAAGGATTCTTAGGGTATATAAAAGAAACAGCGAACGCAAGTCTTCATTGCAGGTCGGTGGTTCACATGAATTGGAGGAATTTCCCCCTAGACCTCGTGATCCACAGTAAACACCAAATCCATGATGAATCCATGATAAATCCCCCGGGCGGCCCATCTCATCAGGCCCATAAGAGTGGACCTGCCGAAACGATCTCCACATGACAAATTGAAAAGACGTTTTCATCAATGAAGCCATCAACTCCACAAGTGCCCAAGTTGACTCGTCCCGTGATCCACTGAGATTTCCTCAACAAAATCCGTCCAGTTCCCACATCGCACACCGCGCGCAGTTCCCGTGCGGCGCGCGGAGAGGGAACCGAGCTTCCCAGCCACCCTTCTTTTTCCTGGGATCGAGGGGCAGTTCTGAAGCGGAAGTGGATACCAAGCCGCTGGATCCAGTGAGCCACCAAGCTTCTCAGAGACTTTTGTTGAGGAGCTGGTGGACAATTGGAACGCCTCTGGGTGTCTCAACGGTCAAACGATGAGGTCATTCAATGAATCTGATTTCTTGGGGTCTATTGTCTCCGTATGTCCCCTTCAGAACGTGGTTTTGATCGGCGGCGTTCCCATCCGACGTTCTGCCGGGTCAATGTGTAAATGATCCAGTTGGAATTACAGTAGTGACCACTCAAAGGGATGCATAGCATCCACACACTCTGGAAAGGTGTGACTTGCTTCAAGTTGTTTCGAAGGTAACTGGAATATGTTGGGAACCCCAAACCTTGTGTTGTTTGGGGAACATCCAACACCTATCTCGTTGTTTGGACTATGTTGGGAACAAACCTTGTGTTGGGAACATCCAACACCTATCTCGTCCCTGTCTCCCAAACACTCAATTTGTGCGTGGTCCATTCACCAAGAACCCGTCCCTCATGGGTCTCTCCAACCGTCTCCAACCAGGCCACAAGGGCCCTTTCGGTCGCCTCGGACCATCCGAGGGGCGTGATGCAAAAGAGAGAGGAGGCATACATCTCCAGGTAGGACTCCTCCTGTCTTGGAAGCAAAGGAATCCATGAGGACCTATTGATGTATTATATTATATATACTCTTGACATAGTTTAATACAGTGTAGATAGATAGATAGATAGATAGGAATAGATAGGAATAGATAGGAATAGATAGGAATAGATAGGAAGAGATAGGAAGAGATAGGAAGAGATAGGAAGAGATAGG